CTGGTCTTAGCCATGAAAAGGACCAACCCAGGCTAAAAGTAAAAGTAAAAATAAATATTACTCTTTAGTTCTCTATCAATGTCTAAACAGTAAACTGCAAAGCCTGAATCCGCTAACCTAAACTCTACATTCAGTTTAATATTAATATTTCAGTCAATCACGGACGTACTCGATCTACATCTCCCTGCTGTGCTCTACAAACACCTGACTCTGCGTGGTCATTCAACGCCAAGTACAGCAGAAAGAAGGAAAAACACCATTGCCAACAAACAACCCAGCGAAGCTCTCCGTCTTTCTCTTCTTCTCCACGTCTCCCCACAGCTTTTCCCGCAACTTGTGAGTTCACCAATGTGAAAACTACCCGTTCAACAACTATAAGCCAACCCCATCACTCACGTAAGCGTTTAATACTTAAAAAACTTCGGCAACTTATTTCTAATTCTGGAGTGGGGTGAAGAGAAACAGAAGTTTCTGACCGCCCCTGGTTATATGTCATTCCCCTTCGGGGAATAAAATATATTACTAACTTAAATACCTACCATGCCAAAAAATCAACATACACACAGTGTGGGGAGGGCACACAAACGTCTTATATATCTCAGAGAGTGCACTAGCACTCTATATGGAGGAATGCAATGAAAAACAATGGCCGCCAAGAGCCACAATAAGGCTGATATGAAGAGTCGTTTCTTCAGCTATACCCACTTCCTACTTTGACCCGTGACCTTTCAACTGCGGTACGTAAGATACTTCTGCGACCAATGACAGTCAAGTAATTAATCACATGAAACATTATGGAAGGTCATTAAGAGCTGGGTGTTGAAAGCGGGTAACAGAAAGCACACCTACTGCCATTAATTTTGCCACTACCTCTTTCTACAAAGTTACCCTGACCATCAAACAGTGTATACCATGTTTTAAGTGTATACAATGCCTAGCAAAAGTATTCACCTCCTGCAAAGTTTCCATATTTTGTTGCTGTCTGAGCTTGCAATCATGAAACTTTTAAATGAGACTTTATGTTTAGAATCCACACAATCTACTCCAAACTGAGAAAGGTAAAAAACGCTGATATTATGTAAGTAAGTTAGATTTTTAAAGAAAAATTTGAATATTCTCACTTGCATAAATATTCAACCTCTTTGCTACGGCAGTTCTAATTCAGTTCAGGTGCAAAATATTAATTTGAAAGATCACAAAATTAGTGTAATGGTTTCTGCCTGTGTATAATCAAAGTGAGTTAACTTGACTTCAGAGTAAATTCATCTGTTCAAGCCACAACTCACATAGTGATACGACAAACTAACCACGAAGACCAAAGAGCTTTCCAAGTAAGTCAGGGATAAAGTGGTAGAGAAGATCAGATCAGGAGAAGGTTACAAGAGAATTTCAGAGTCGCTGATTATCCCTTTGAGTATGGTGAACTCCATCATTAAGATGTGGAATGTGCTTCATACCACCCAGTCAGTAACCATATCAGGCCGCCATTCCAAACTAAGCAGCCAGGCAAGCAGGAAACTGGTTAAGGATGCCACTGTGAAGCCAAAAGTAACTTTGAAAAATTTGCAAAGTTTCATGTATGAGATGGGAGTCAGTGTTCATACATCGACAATATCCCAGTTTCTACACAAAGCTGACCTTTATGGGCGAGTGGCAAGAAAGAAGCTATTACTGAAAAACGATCACCCTAAATCTTGTATGAAGTTTGCGAAAAAAAAAACATGTAAATGATACTGCAGACATGTGGCAAAAGGTTTTGTGGTCAAATGAGACAAAAATTGAGCTTCTTTGGTCTAAATTCAAAGCGTTACGTCTGGTGCAAGCCCAACACAGCACATCACCTAGTCAGCATCATCCCAACTGTCAAACATAGGGGTGGCAACATTATGTTATGGGGATGCTTCTCATCAGCAGGGACTGGGAATCTTGTCAGGATTGAGGGAAAGATAGATGGTGCAAAGTACAGGCGAATCCTAGGGGAAAACCTGCTTGAGTCAGTCAAGAATCTAAAACTGGGTCGAAAATTCACATTTCAGCAAGATAATGACCGAAGCACAAGGTCAAAGCCACACTGGAGAGGTTTCAAAAGAAGAAAATGAATGTCGTTGAGTGGCCCAGTCATAGTCCAATCTTGAATCCAATAGAAAATTTATTGTGAGACTTGAAGATTGCAGTCCATCAATGATCCCCAACGAACTTGTCATAATTGGAGCAATTTTGCCAGGCAGAATGGGCAAAAATTACACCATCCCATTGTACAAAGTTGTTAGAGACCTATCCAAAAAGATTCACATCAGTAATTACTGCCAAAGGTGCTTCCGACAAGTACTGACTTAAGGAGGGCTGAATACTTATGCAAGCAACAAATTTCAATTTATATATTTTCTTTGCAGGTTTTGAATAAAAACATGTTCATTAACAAATTGTTTACATTATTTTCATTTCATCAAAATGTGACATTATTGGTAGTGGATAAATACTGTTGCAAGGCACTGTACATATTGATTTCTTAAAACTTACGCAAAACTTCTGGTGAGGTAATAATGAATACTATAATAATATGTTAGATTATAGGTAAATTGTGTGAAAGTTAGGATTTTTGTGTTATTTATCATACTATCCACCCCACATTTTTTAAAATTCATAACCCCGACAAAAGATGGGTATTTCAGCTTGTAATCTATAAATATATATATATATATATATACATACCACGTGATTCAGAAATCCGGCGACAGGCAAATAATTCAGAAACTGAAAGTAAAAGATAATATACCTTTAGTGGTATGGAATGAGGTGTTGTTAGCCTACCATGTAACGATATCATTGAGGTATTTCAAGGTCATATGCCCCCAGTGGCACAGCGGTATTTCTGCGGACTTACAACGCTAGAAAGCGGGTTTCGATACCCGTAGTGGGCAAAGCACAGATAGCCCATTGTGTAGCTTTGTTCTTAACTTTTAAACAAACAAACAAACAAACAAGGTCATATTATTCGAAACTTTTATTAAAATGTCTTATGCATCCTAAATGTCAAAGGTGAAGACAATAACCAACAGGACATTATAGACCAAAAATTACCAAAATAGGTCTACAATATAAATGATATTGCCCTTCACTCTAAATTGACAGATACTGATCAAAAATTGAACTTTATATTTCATAATACTCCAATTCATAAAGGATTGAATAAAGGCACATATGCATATGTTATATAAACATTTCAGCTAGACACATTTATTAATTAGCTTTCTTGATTAATCGTAACACTGTCCCATGATCCAAGTGAAAAAGAAAGGAGATAACCTATGTTAGCCAGACAAGGTATTTTAAAATCATCCCAGAAATAAACCGATTCATGAATTACACGAGCATATCAATTAAATCAAGCACCATGTGTCACCAAAATGACTTATGTGCAAGCTTCATTGTAGTGAAGTTGTTTTTCTAAAAACTTCACTTAGCAACTGTATGACTAACTTTAGTAAAATGTACTAGATAGGCTCTGGAAATAGTTGGGATATCAGGAAAAGGACCAAATAGTCCGTGGAAATGGCTAATGGGTATTTTTTTTGATCGATAGTAAACGTTTTTGATTATTCGGCTAAATTTTATACACCAAGAGAATATTCATTAAATTTACACATCCATTTTCAACCAATTGGATATCTTTGAAAACCTCTTCGGATTGTTTCGAATAATTTTGTGATACTACTTTGTGCGATCAAAAATAAAATCTAACAAAAATCCAAATTTAGGTGAAAACTAGCTAGATGATAAATGTTGAGTACGTCTATTGCTGAACGTTAATCGCACTTTATAAGAACCACATCCTCCATGGTCGATCCCGCTCAGTCTGATAGCCATAATTATGCATTATTGCCCGACACCACAGTTTCCATCGTAACAAGTTTTTGTGAAGGGCAGTCTTAGACCATATAATCCTGAGAATGATTTTCCTCATATCCTTCATTATGCTTAGCTCAAAGACCACGTGAACCAAAGTTAATTGGCGTTGCATCAGGCGACTTGATAGGCTGTGATGCCAGTTACTTTGTCTATTTTTCTCATGAAAACAAATCGATTTATTATACTGCTGGAAATTTGCAACCTTTTGGTTTGAGCCTTCGTCGGTTTTCAATCCTTGTTTATCATATTGTTAATGAAATCAAAAGATGTTCCCAGGTTCAACACAATGGCGTTTCTTGAGTCGGATGGTTATTCTTCACTTTGCAGATGACTGTGTTGCTCCGGATTAGATTGCGGGTGTGGTTTAGGATCCTATAGATCTCCTAAACAATCTTTTTGGCGAGATTTTCAACTTTAATGGATCATATTGGTACTTGGGGTCCACATCGTTTCAAAATCTCGGTATACAGATATACATCCTCCCTGGAAAAAGGGCTATATTGTACTCGTGAAACAATAAATCTATCCGTGGCGATATATTAGTATTGAATAGACAGAAATTCAACGCGAGTCTTATAGATATGTGGAAACGTGTTGCTTTAGGCACCACAGCTTGCATTTGCGGTGGTACCACACTTATTAAACACAATAAATATGTCAAACGTTGCTCAAAGATGAGTACGATTCAAGATGCCCAAGAAAAATAACGTGCTTGTCGGCATGATTATGTCATCTTTTATGTAGATCCGCTTCACTTGGTCTTAGATGCCCATGGGAATGTTTATCGGTACGTGGTTATTTATAGATTTTAGAAAGATTTCTTCGAATTGCTCGATAATTTAAGCTAATATTTATCCCAATAATTGTGTATTAATGTGAGCATCTAAAACTTTTAAAGCTCCCCCCCCCCACATGACTGTTTAATAGCTGTTTTGGCATTGAAATAAAAACAAGACTTAAAATTTAAAAGTCTTCGTAAAACGTTTGACTCAGCCAGCTAGCGCTATTTTTAAAGTAATGATGTCGCTAGAATAAACATTTCAGGATCAACTCACTCAAACAGATAAGAAATGATAGAATAGCACAAAAACTATACTCGCACCTTTCCTTCAATATTTTATTTTCTTGTTCATACAATATTCATCATATAAACTGAGATAATCAAACACTGAAATAAAAGGTCCGTAATAAAATCAAAACACTTTACATGCACAAAAACAGCTAAGTTATATAAAAGGGCAAACCTTTTAAAGATATAAAACAGGAAAAAAAGGAAAACTTTGCTCCATTTTGCTGTTCGTGTTACTAGTTGTTCAGTTGTTATAAAAAAAGGGCATGAAGAATTCCCCAGTTTTTATTATTGAACTTACCCACTTTTACATTACATCTATAAAGGGTTTTACATACATACAACCTGGCTGTTTTTGTACATGAAAATGTTTTGATCACTCATTTCTATTACAGATGTTAGGGAAATTAAAAGTTTTTACTTCACGAAATAGTATTTGATATATCTAGATCTTTTTAACTTACGAATCCTATTGGACAAATTGCAATATTTTGTTTCTATGTTTAAAATTATTAAATGCTTTTCATATAAATGGACAATTTTTTAAATAACTATGTTGTTTGTTTACTAAAGCTAATTTCTAAATAAATGAGCTACATTTCAATCTTTATTACAACCTAACTTTGATACTAGAAAAGATCTAGAAGACAAACGATAAAAAAGCAATACTTTTACTCATCGTTGAACACTTGTATATCCTAATCTATAACATGTAATACATTTGACTATGGTATATTATTTTAATAGCTAATTTTAAATAATAGTGTACCAAAAGTAGGATTCGAGCTCCAGCTGTCAGGGAAAACTAGAAACAGATTCAGTGCCTTCGACAATTAAGCCTTTCCCTCATATCAGGTCTTCTATGTCCTCATAGACCCTTAAGTCAACAGCTTTACCCCTATGTTGAATAGCAATTCGCTTAAAATGATCAAAATAATATTTATAAAAAACATTAATACACGTGCTAATGTTGTCAAATATTCTCTAGTTCAGATTAATATCTACCAGTAGATATTTCGTGCCGATTCTATTTTCTTTACTCTATGTTTTGTCACTTCAACAAGATTATTAATTTTACCATTTTTTGACTGCTTATTTGTCATAATCTAAAACGAATAAGAATCTTCATTTTTAACGTGATATAGGAGTGTTTAGATTTATTCAGAAATGTAGTAATAGTGGCATTCCATCACGTGGAATAACTGTAGCAATACCCCAGAATAGACTAAAAGTTCGGTCCTGTTTATAGTCACGGCAGCGTTACTACATCTTTCTAGCTTGACTGAAGTCACTACCGTACCCTTCCGTAACTTAAAAACCAACAAATAAACAAAAAAAAGTAATTTGACAAGTTTGCGCCGGTCAACAAAGTCGCTAAATTGTAAAATATTAGTTTTTTGTGATCACAAAATATCTTCTGAAAGAGTTAAATTCAAAACAAATTTCTGAAATAGGGAATAAACAGTAAAAAATCATATATTTTTAAAATAATTCATGTAAACTATAAACTGCATTTATCGAATAATTCAATGTTTTTGTATTCTACCAACAAAACAGTTGAACTCAAACATGAAAAATATATGTAATAAAAGACAAAATGAACATTTATTTCGTTATCAAACTATATGATCAAAAATCTAAAGGATATCCAAAAATTAGATTCACCTGAAAGATAAGATACAAAATTAAAAATATTTTAAGTATTTGACATTAGATGGCGCTGTTTCGTTAACTAAGAATATGGCTACGTATACGAAAACATGGATAAAGAGCTGGAGATCAAGAGTATAATTAGTTTACCTTGGTTAAGTTTTCTGAAATGTTGGAGTATCGATTCATGCATAATTTCTATCGGGAAAAAATAAATTGTTCACACTGTATCAAAATATGTTTTTAAAATGAAGCAGTTAGTAATTATGCAGCATAATTCAGAGGGTAAAAGTAAACATCCTAATTAATATAAATTGTGCAATCAAAAACGTAACACTATCAAAAATCAGGAATAACTTTTAAATTGTTTTTCAACACCTATCACAGCAGTGACTTGTTTAAGTATTCAAGCTCAGTTTACACATACAAAATAATACACCGGCATTATTGTTAATCAAATACCTTTCGAAAAGAAAAAGATTATTGATTTAAAATTCTAGGAAAATTAGTGATTAATGTTGACTATTTCTCTTTAAAATGTGATTTTTTCACTAAAAGAAATGTGATTACAACTGACCTTTTTAAAAATGTTGATTTTCACTATCCAGATCAAAAGTTGTTAAAATACATTTTACTCAGTTTAGTTATCCATTATTGGCTCTTGTTGACACTGAGCTCTGGCTGCCATGGCAACCTTCTGCGCTTGAAGAACAATATCTATACAGCGACATCTTTTGACAAGTCTACAATCTTTGAACAATCCTTCACATCTAGGAAAACCATTCGATCCATCTGCAAACGTCACCAAACCTATGAAAAACGATCAAAACAATTAAATTTCCGAAGATTAAACAGAAACATGATTATAATTTCATTGATGACATTTCTTGTATACTTTCTTCGTACTTTTAATCTGAATGTTTTTCTTTCCAATAAGTCTGGAAATAAAAACACTACAAAACTATCTTGTATAGAATGGATAAATTAAAACTAAAAGTGAAGTCACAAAGTTTGATAAGATGAATTGAAAACAAAAATGCTGAAGTCGGATGACCATTGTCAGTAGAGTATAATGCATCATTACCTTATTATGCCTTACAATTATCAAATTAATAGTTACTTCTTACAGACAGATGATTACTTTTTTGAGCATCCATTCGTGCAGTAAAGTAAGATATTAAAAAACATGATTTAAAATTTTATTGCACCTAGATTATAATAAAAATGTTTTTATCTTAGTAACGCGTTACCTCTGCTGTTTGTTATCTCTGTGTTGCCTATGTCCTAAAATAATAGACAAATAATAATAATAATATATATATATAATAGTTACCTACCATACCCCCATATTCGACCTCCACGAAACTCGCCTTCGAATCTCATTCCGTCATTTCTCCAGAACGTTCCATGTCCATGGAACCAACCTTGCATGAACTCTCCTTCATATCTTAATAGGAAATACAAAAAAAATCGTATAAATGATTGATGGCATAATCTGCCACGTTGAACTCAACGATTTTGGAAAACGCCATTTTTCATATTCCTACCTACAGTGGTATTTCTTATGAATAGTAGCTTTAGAAGGACTGAATTTTATTAATTTATTTCCACGTTGAGTAGCTCTGTAAATGATAGTCACTGTTTTCGGAATGTGTCTAACCCTGGTCAATTACAGAACCAATCACAAAGGAAGAATTATATATTCAAACGATTCTGGTGAGAAGTAGTGAACCACTATAGTTAACTTAAATTACTTAGCAAGATTGATGTTATTTCAAACTTTGTTTTAATTCCTAATTTGTAATTATCATTATACAAATGACAATTGCTTAACAATGCCAATTTTTATAAAACGTACTTTGCATGGTCAGGAAACGAAAGAACGCCTAGTCCAGATGGCATGCCGTTCTCAAATCTTCCCACGTAAACTGTTCCACCTGGAAATTTTAAATGTCCCATTCCCTGTTTCTGACCTTTCTCGTCCCATTGGCCAACATATTCCATTCCATCAGGATATGTAAAACTTCCTACAACTTCGACATCTTCTTTCTTAACGTTTTCACCTTGATCTATCATAGAATGCACTACAGTGTAATTCATGATTTTAGAAAGAACACGGGAAAAATGTTAGTTTAATTTCAACTCATTTCATTCTTTAAGAGCATTAACAAATATTTAAAAAGTAATTATTGATTACAATATATATTAAACTTTTATATTATTTTATTTTTTCCTTTAAGATAAGTATTTTGCGCTTCTCTTATAAATAAGTAGTATGTTGAAAAATGCAGCTCTTAATAATAGATATTTACTATTTAGAGAATTCATTTTTACTTTTATAATTCTAGAGTGAAAAAAGTTTATATCAGCAAGAAAAGCTAAAACATTAAACTAGTTCTCTGTACAGTTATCAGTAGAAAGCTTACCTGACATCGTGTTAAACTAAAAGAGTGAAGCCACCAATACTTTCTAGTTTGCCGTCTCTCAAAATCGTTTACCATAATCCAATTAGAATAAAGCAATGCAATCAAATTCGATTAGGCGCACGTGACCACTAAAGATTTCGTAATCTGTGCTTCCCTCTATTTTTTACGAATATGGTAGTCCTAAAATAATAAAAAATACTTAAAACCTCGGAAATCTTAAAAGCACTCTTGATAAGAATTTCGCAATGAACTCTCTTCCTACCTAATATTATATCCCTTCTTATAAGTTATTTCTTTAGTGGCAAAAATTAGTGTGTCGTGCGGCCAAAACAACTTACAGGACACACTGTGTGTTATTAACAGGTGTGATAGTTTAACGATATTCCACTTTCTGTAGCTTGTACTGTGTTAATCCAAACTATCACATATTTTCAGTGGATGTGTTCTACTGGACTTTTACTTCACATACCAAATTTCAAGTCAATCCACTAAGAAATACCCGAGATATAATAATCAATTTTGATTGAGTATCTTTCTAAGTTTTTTTTCTTCGCACGGAAAGTAAGTAACTTTATTTGATAGAAACACATGCTTAACTTTTATGCATTATTTTCAAATTTGGTACACTGATAGATCTTTTCAACCTACAATTTTGTGTCAAAATGGTCTAAATATAAGCAATGTGTGCAAAGTTATTCAACAAAAACCACTCATTACTGACAAAATGTTTGCGCACGCCTATGCAAAACGTTACGACCGACCTCGTAACCATTTTGTGCTTGTTATAGTTTTCATGCTATAACATTTAAATTAGTAAGCGAATGTTAACAAAATTTGGCAGTTTATCAGTAAACATTACAATACTTTCACATGCAAAATATCTATTTTTTTATTAAGTCTTAAGGTTTGTACAGCAATGTTTCTCTCATGCCTTTTTTTTTCTTTTCACATCTTGCCTATCTATCATGCAAAGAAATTTTAATTTTAAGATTAAAAATATTTTAATGCATCAGCAAATTTTGAACTTTCATATGCGAAATCTTTATGATGTCCCAATAGTTATCAAACATTTCTTAAGAAAAAACATTTATGTTTTATTTGTTATTTTCAGTAATTAATCTCTGTATGGGTTCGGTAAATTTGACCATCTCGCAACCACAATAAAAAAAAAAGGAAATGAACAAATTATGACTCTTTCGTTCTATAATGAACACAAGTTATAACACGAAAACATAAATGTTTAGACGAAATAACTTAAATCTCATAACATTATACATTTATTATTTTTATTAGATTGACCTTTCACCCATGCCTGGCTAACAATACAGAAGCTACAATGATGCGACTCACGTGCATTCATGTTACCATATCAAATAACATAAAACTGACCTTAGTCATTTTTTTGTATAATGTTTCACAGGTTACTCAGGCAGCTATCCAGAATATGAAACGTTTTTGTTGGCATGAGCTGTATGAACTGTTGAATTTTATGCATAAAAAACAAGCACTAAAAGTAGCCCTTTGTTGGATAGGAAAGTGTCCAACTAATCCATTGTCATTAAGGGCGTGACAAGGCCTACTCTAGCAAAAAAAGAAAGTTGGGTTGTAGAAATGTGGATTCAATTGGATATGCTATACGTTACAAATAATAGCAAAATGTGACATTGTGTTCACCACGTTGTTCGTAACATACTCCAAGGTTATGCTTAAACACAATAAAAGGAAAAACGTGATTTAGAATGGCTCGCCATGGTGTACAGAACTGATACTTCCAGGGCATGCTGTTCATATGAAAATGTTAGATTGTTGTAAACTTGATCTCCTCATATCTCAAATGTGTAAAACGTGTAAAAAATGGCGAGGTGTGGTAGAAGATAAGCAACATTAACTGTAACCACATTGAAGAAAGGGCTCTGTTTTACCTATCAATAGTTAGTAACGTCAGTGGCCTAGATTGATGCTATGTACAGCAGCAGTTAAATCATAGATCAATCCCTGCCCTTTTCAGTATCTAACGAACAGCATGTACTTGATGCGGCAAATCAGGACTGATGTTTTGCTAATCAAAGCGATGTACATGATGCAAATTAATATATGACAATAACATAGATTCATTCGGATTCTAGGCAGATTACGCGAATCTGATGTTTATTTCAAACCAATATTGTTTAATAAATACACAACACATACTGACATTCTGTCATACGAGTCGTCATCAGATATGCCTTCATCTATTACCTTATAAGCTGATATATATTATCGAAATTGTTGATAAATATTTAAGTTTTCCTTTAAATATTTCAAGAGTGGTTAATACGTAAATACACTTATATATTTTAATTAATATATAAGTCCGAACACGTTAGTGGCCGCCATCTTGAGAATCATGACGTGATAACACAATAAAATGTCGTAACGAAGTCTTTAACATTTGTCACTGTATTTGAGCAAAGATTCTTATAGATCTTATATGAACCATATCAGGTTTTTACTTAAACCCACCATTAATCTGTATTTGTCTCAGAATTATATAGAAACATACAAAAAAATTCAGTCTTTTTTTTATTATTTAGCGGATCCGCACTCACTTCCGGTTGCAGCAAATTAAAATTAGAACCAAATAATATCCACAAAACGTGATTTTCACTATGATTTTAATAAAATTAAGAAATAAAAAGGCATCAGTGATGTAATATTTCTTTCATATCACATTCTGCAATTACAATTTTCTCCAGGTCTCTCTCACAAGTTACACTTCTCACAACAAATATTCTCTGGTCTCTCTCACCGCAAGTCATCACATAAACTTGTAAACTACACACTTACAACAAAGTATCTCTCATCAAAGTCACACACAGTCATAGCAAGTATTCTCAGGTCTTTTTTCATCGCAAGTCTAACCCTTTGTAAACTACACACTAATAACATGTCTCCTCGAGGTTTCTTTCAACACAAGTCTCACACTTTGTACTAAGCACTCATAATAAGTCTTCCAGGTCTCTCTCATCACAGTTCTCACACTTTGTAAACTATACATTAACAACAAGTCTCATCAGCTCTTTCTCTTTCTCACAATATGCATCACACTTTCTAAACTAAACACTGATGACAAGTTTGTGCTTGTGAACCATTATCTATCCTTTACGCACTGACATATTCACTAAAAATTATTAGCAATTTTTATATTACTACTGCGAAGTGTTAAATAACACCTTTTATATAACTGAAGTGACATTCGAATATATTGCTTACCTGAGGATGATAAAAAAGGATCACTATGCTCTCTTCCTAACATCAAAAGACCCACATAAAACATTAGTATTTTCCTACTGAAGATAACAAGCGATAATATTGTGGCAATCTGTGTAATTAAATGCTTATCCAACAGGCAAACCACTCCTGTGCACAGATAAACCACTGAAGTGAACTGAATGTAAATAAAACAACTCTTGAAATTAAATATAAACTAAAACAAAAGCGGAAAATGCAAACTGGTAGGAGAACAAAGAAAAACCCACAACAACTTTTCTCTCAGTCAACAGAAAGCAAAGTTACAGTGAAAGTTCGGAAGTGGCTCAGCTGCACCATGTGACTCGATAGCAATGACGTCATTATGGGATACTGTCAGTTTCCTAGTAACACGTTACACTAGTAAGAAATGTTTGGTACTGTATTTCTACTAAACAAAAAATACAAAAACAAAAACAGTCATTCTTCTCTAAGAACTGTAGTGCTGTCTGGAGTAGCGAAGCCATGATTATGTGATGTAAAAAGCAACAGCAAACTCCAGGAAAAACTTTTATTTTATTTAAAACCGACGTTTCGGCTGGAGAACTATGTACGGGACCAAAATAAATGTTGTTGTTTTTTTCCACGTAAAAAAAACAACATCATACTCCCAGGAAATTTTTTATTGTTTAAAACCGATCGACATTTCAGCACCAGTTTCTTGGAGATTGCTAAACAGATCAGCTAGGGAACTTTGCACCCATTCTATCACATAACTTCCCGATCATCCGGAGTCTCTAGTTGAGGATTGTGTTAAAATTCTAATCTTAACACAGAAACTTGAACTCAATGAATTGCTCAAGAAGTTCCCGATGTGACAGAAGATAGCTGTATGGATCAGACTACAATTACACATCATTACGTAGATGTGGGCAGACCCGTCGACAGAGGGGGGGGGGGCAAAGGGGGCAATTGCCCAGTGGCCCGGGCGAATGAAACCTGGTTATGCCGTAAAGCCCGCAAAGCATCTTTAAGCTATATCTTCATTTAATGATAAAAAAACCATAGTTTTTGGCTTTTCTTTGCATAGAGACGCTTGATACATTAAGAACGACTGAAATAATAATTTGAGTAATAATTAATATGTATTTGTTACGTTATAGATTTAATAGATATTTGTTGTTACTTTATTAACGTTTTTACGCTTATACTTTGCGGTAAAAATGGCTGCTGCTATGATTTTGTCTGGTTTATGAGCTCGTTGCCGTCCTAATTTAGGATCTTCTTTTTAATAAATTCTTGAAAATGTTATAAAAGAGAGAGAGAAAGGGGATGTTTGCCCCGGGGCCCGTGCTGGCTCTCGACGTTCCTGGATGTGGGTAACATACTGCATTTGATAAAACAACCACTGTGCGAGATTCCTTGAAGCACCAGAGATGTTGTGAACTGAGTGTATGTTGAAGAAAAGAGTAATACAATTTTCTCAGTTGGTGATTGCCAAAATGAAGAAAGGAACACCAAGATGTTGCGTGGACTTCATATAAGTACAGATTCTTTTTAGCCACCATCCGACAAATATCTGGATACGTTGGAGGGTGCTTATTTGTTTAACTGCTACTGTAAATGTATGCATGTATTTTGTAGTTGATAGTACAAAATGTGACATAACTCAATGATTATGGCAGAAATAACTATTTATGCATATTTTTATACTCTTTTATTATTTGAGTTAGCGTTAATCTAACTCTTAGGTGGCATCTTAAAGCCATTAGGGCGCTTTAGTATATGGAAAGCATGACTGATTCTGATATTGGTTGCCATGGTTATCAAGCTAGTCACTGAATGGTAAAATCATTTGTTGCAAGTATGCTTTGGTTAATATTTGATCTTAAGATGGGTAAATGTGTAAGTTAGTACATGCACGTCTTCCATTATATGTGGACCAGTTGGTGTTTATTTTAAAATTGATCATGTACACGAATGAAACATAAACGTATAATACTGCTGGCAAATAAAATATTTGGTTTGGATATTCAGATATGTATGTTTGGTAAAGACTGCAGTAATTAGTTTACCTGCACGGAGAGAGAAAAACAAGGTGAATTTTGTGTTTTTTTAATTCTGGTAGACATTGTTTTTGATTTAGTGTTCAACTGAAATATTCATAAATGTGTGATTTTTCACTGGAACAGAAACATCATGTGTCTGAATGATCCACGTCACACCAAGTGAGAACATAGTTTACAGTGGTATTAGTGAAGGAATATTTTCTCATTGGGCCAACAGGAATATTGTCAGGTGTTGTAACTTAGTCTTTATGAAGTAAAATTTCTATTATTGGATCATTAAGAATGAAAGAGAAAATAGTGTATAAATTGTATCCTTGTAGTTGTGACGTAGAAATATATTTGATTTGTACAAGTTAATTATTTCAATACTCTGCAGATATTACTGAATGATTTGAGTTATTTTTGTTTAGTTTACTTCAGTTTATCTTCTTTAATTTCATATTATTTTCATTTAATGTTTTTAGTTATCTGGATGTTAGAACTTTTTTATAATAAAGCTTTGTATACTTAATATAAGGGGGGGGGGGTAACTAAAGAAAATTACTACTTTGTTAGTTAACGCATATTTAACCAAAACAATTCAGTTTTAACGTTCGGCCCTGAGAAAGCTCTGAGATAAAAAAAAGAGGAATTGTTGGATTGAACAACTAATATATTTCATCATTTCAAAATCAGTAAAATGTATATCATGAACCACGATAATGGTTAATAATAGGGATCGCAAGGAATTGCATAAAACCCTAATAGAACGTTCGGGCAAAAACTTAAACAGTAAATATTTTGTTCAGACAACACTTTAAAACCTTTTTTTATTGACTACTAAGGATGTACACATATAAAAATGCACAATAAAGCACGCATGTTAGACTTACGAGGAAAAGAAATCCCGCTCAAAACGGCCCGTTTGTAATTATTATTATTATCTTGCCAGCTTACAACAAAAACGGCTTGGTACATTGTACCCAAACATTTTGCAAAATACTAAATAAGATAATACGAAGGTTGTAGGGGTATTGAAAAGTCGGTTTGTTTCTTCTACATTTTATATAAGCTAATTCTAGTGTAAACAATATTATCATTACCCCCTTGAAGTTAGCTTTCTTATAAACATCTGTTGTTCCTTTAAAAAGCTTACGTACAGGGTGAAATAGGAATTATCAGTCAATAATAGATGAACGTTAGATGACTGTAACATGTAGATACTAAATGCCTTGTACACTATACATTTGCTGTCTTTAGGGAGCCAACCCCTATATTATGTATGAAGTGAAGTAGTAAAAAAAATCAATACACGTAATATTGAATTTTATTACACACATTTGTATGCTAATTACTTTAAAAGACACGATGGTTTACTTAAAATGGTGTTTTAGACGTGTAAGTTTTATTTGAAAAGGCTGCTTTTCTACTAATAAAATTTTATCCGCGCTTAGTGGGACTTGTGTCTTAGTCTAGGCATATATTTGCCCATTGCTATGCATGATATATAGAGAATTTAGTTACACAGAAACTACAAATGCTCACTTTATTCTCAAAGAAATCTAATCTCCATGACAACCTCCAGCTGCAGCTTAACATTTTACATCTCGAATTAATGATATCAAATAATCAATAACTATAGTAAATCATCCTGAACTGTATCAGCTAGCTACTAGCTATGCTTTATTATCATTACAATATATAAAGTTGGCTACCATATCAAGTAATCCTTTGCCCATAGTTCAGCATAAGAAAGCCAGCAGACAAGATAAATAAAAAATTAGGAATTTAAAAACCTGCAAATAGGGATCGTAAAAAAAGTAAGGAAACAAGGCTGGAGATACTGTAGACATTATTTACCCAAACTACAAATCTCTATTTTGACTTCATTAAATGTAATTCTAGGTAACAGCATGTAGCCATAATAGGGGTTTGTAGTTTGATTAATTAATTTCTAAATTACCTCCAACCTTGTATTCTTACTTTCTTTTAGGGTCCCTACTTGCAGGTTTTTAAATTTCCAATTTTTTATCTATCTTATATATCTTTACATAGGTATGTTCGGGTACATTTTTCAAACTTTTGTGTGTGCACAGAATTACGTTACTTGACGTTTTCGTTAACAGGATATAAACATTTACAAATGTGCACTAATCTATCTTAAATAAAGGTTACATACCACAGCAATTGTCCAGTAAAAGGTCACACTTGCTTGACCCTCTCTCTGTGCAATGTCTTCCTAAAGTAAGATCGTACTCATGTGAATGGGTATTGTAGCTACTTGTATGAAGGCTTCTCTCCAGTTAACGTAGAAGGAGAATGATCATTGATGTAGGTAATTTTGTATCTTGAGATATCCCACTAAGAACTTTAATTTTGACTTACCCTATTATTCTAATTCCTGCCTCTGTCCTGTGCAGACATTAAATGTCCTCTCTGCTTCAACAGCCAGCAACGGTGAAATATTGTAGTTCTACCAGTCATATTCTAAAGAACATCATGGTTGGTGTTCGAATAGAGAGTTTGTTTATCCGTTGTTTTCTCTTACTGTTCGCACTGGATATAATCTCTGTTTAACTTAGCTTAAAATGGGCTGTGCATTGCAGATATTAAATACATGCCTGTTGAAAATCTACGTACCTGAATACCACAGACTAAGTTATTAATGAAATGAAAAAAAACAACAAATTGATGACTAGACCTATTTGTCTCAACATAAAGACTCTGAAAACTAGAAAGTGTAAGACAGTTAGTCACACTTCATTGTTGTTTATAAACTTTATGAACTCTGTTAAAAATGTGAATTTCCCGCCAGATACAAACATTTTAAGTTTAAGTTTTCCAGTGCGGATTCAAAAGAGTTGAATTATGTTTTCTTTCAATGACGAATAAACTACAAAATATTAATGTTATAAAACTGTTATTCTAATGTTAGCCCGGTTTATAACTGTATAACACAATAAGTAAGCAAGCAATGGCTTACAACACTTCCTATGTCTCTGCTGCTACTGCTTCCAGCTGCTCATTTGTGAGTGAAGTAGATCTGGTACACGTAGTTTATATTGCAACTGTTTATTCATTATAAATATTAATTTTTGGAGCACAGACAGTAGACTTCGCCGTGTGCTTGTGTGATTGGACAGTCTGTAAATCTATTTTGGAAGTTTAAGTATTATATCTATATTTTCTTCCCTGTTCGTTAGCTAATCGGGACAAAAACAAAACGAATTTCACATCTAAAGAAGGTGAAATGCTGTTGTCCAACTTCAGATTTAGTCCTAGGATATTATTGTAAAAACATTATGTGCTTGAATTGTGCTAAGTTAAATCGGAATAGCCATTTTGTACAAGGTCTCCCAAATGTTGGGTACCATTCTAACGTTGTTCCTTCACAGATTTTGTATATATTGACACTGCATGTGGAGATGACCTGGAAATAATGTTTTCAGTACTGTAACGATTTTTATGGTAAACATTTTGATCATATTCTTTAAACTTGTATAAAAAATCAGCTTCTGGTAACCGAATTTTAGTACACGCTGTATATCTGGAAACTAACTATTATACTTTAACACGTAGAATAAAAATCCGAAACTATTTTTGTGTTTAATAGCGGATCTTAATATTCAAATAAATCATAGAGCTTCAATATTTATGAAACGTATTTTGTACCACTTTTTTGTGACACTTAAATGATATGAATAACAAAGCAACATAAGCAAATGTTGTAATCATGCACTCCTATTGGACATTTTTCACATGACGTTTGATATACATGACCAACCATAGCTGACACATTGAGAGATTTTAGAGAGTTTTTATTTGGAACAAAAGCTTGCGCGGTCGTTGATATAGTCGTATGAGAGGTTTCTTCATTAGTGAATCACGTAAAAGTGGAGCAACCACCGCGAGCAACACACACGTCCTTCATACGTACTGCCACCTAGGGGAGATTTGGCATAACATGTTCTCTTCTTTTTGAGTTGTGGCCTGTGCAATGCATATAACTATAGTCAATTGATTGCTGAGTAATGAAAGCTGAGTCCTCCTACCTTTCATAATTTTTAAAAGATTTCTCCAGTATAAGATAAAACTCAGGTAAGAGTTTTCTGCTGCATCAAAAATATCAATAAATACTTTAGTTTTATATAACTATAATGTGGTTGTTTCTTTTTTAATAGTTACTCCATTCCCACATGAAATTATATTTATAATCATTTGGTTAGTTGTAATCTAATGCATCCTCTTTCAAACGTTTGACCATTTTATGCTTATTTGATACATTCTGGCATGAGATATGTAGTACAATTATAACACAAAAATGATGTGTGTCTCACTCCATGAAAAATCTGAATGTAGCCAGTATCACTTCCTATCTTATAGAAGCATATTACCAGTAGTCTTGTTATATTCACACAGCAGAATTAAATGAAATATCTGAGTTCTTATGTATCAGATTTATTCTTGTTTTCTGATCCTAGGTAGCAATCATGAAAAAAGTTTTTGGATGCTTAATTTTCTGCAAAAAGTTGTTTAGATATTTTGTTTCAGTTTATATACAGTTAATCTTATTTCGATTCTTTATTTCATTCGAATGTGTGTGTGTGTATATGTATGTGTGTATAAATCTTTTGATTTGTTAACGTTTTATTCCCTCTGCGTATATATTATATCCTCACGTGACCTAGTTTTTCCTTTGGGAACTTCTGAAATAGTGTCATTAAACCTCAGCCTTTTCTAAATAACATAATCGTAGAATTATTAAATGTCTTAATTTGATTATCTATCATCATATCCTATAGAGTCCTCAAATATCTTACGTTATATAACATCATATTTTATGAAGTCCTCAAATATCTTACGTTATATAACATCATATCGAAAACAGTCCCCAGGTATCTTACTTTGCTAACATTATATGTTATACGGCTATAGTGCCTTCAGATATCTTACATCACTACGCAACATCATTCCCTTAGAAGTCCTCAAGTACCTTACATTGGCTACACTATGTAACATCATAACGTTACAGTCCTCGGGTATCTCACAATACTATGTGACATTATGCCGTATAGAGACCTGGGTATCTTGCATGGCTTTGAAACGTCATAATTTATAAAGTCCCGTGTGTCTGACATTGCTGTATAACATTAAACTATTTAAAGTCCTCAGAAACTTTACATTGCTATGTAAAATTGTACCGTTTAACAGCCCTCACACATCTCAAATTGGTTATCTAACATCATACCTTATAGATTCCTCAGGTATCCTATACTGCCTATGTGATATCATATTGTATAGAGGTCTCAGCTATTTTACATTGGCTATGTAACGTTACAACGTGTAGAGTCCTCAGATATCTTACGTTAGCTATGTAATATCATACCGTACAGAGTCATCAGGTGTCTTAACTTGCAATGTAAAGCATATGCTAAAGAATCCACACGTATTTTATATAGGATGTGTAACATCATATCTAGAATTCTCAGATATTTTAACTTAGATATTTAACACCTTACCGTATAGGATCGCGAAATATCTTGCATTTCTATGTAACACTGGCTCAGCAGTAAGTCTGTGGACTTACAGTGCTAAAAACCGAGTGTCTTCAGGTATCTCATGTATGTTACCTTGCTTTCTAACATCACTCGTATAAAGTCCTGGGTGTCTTACACTGATACGTAACGTCATATCGTATATAGTACTCAGGTTTCTCACATTGCTATATAACACCCTGCCGTCTAAGGTTTTGGTATCTTACACTGGCTATGTTACGTCATACTGTTTAGAGTCCTCTGGTATCTTACAATTCGAGGTATCATTATATTGTCTAATGTCCTCAGGTATATCACATTGTTACGTACCTGAGGACTCTATATAGTTTGATGTTACATAACCAGTGTAATATATCTGAGAATTATATATGGTATGATGCTACATAGTAGTTTAAGATACTTGAAGACTCTATAGAATATAATATTACGTAACAATGTGATATACCTGAGGACTCTATATAGTTTGATATTACATAACCAGTGTAATATATCTGAGAATTATATATGGTATGATGCTACATAGCAGTTTAAGATACTTGAAGACTCTATAGAATATAATATTATCTTACATTGCGATCACATCATGCCGTGTAGATCCTTCGTGTGTCTCACATTTCCTAAATAACATCATATCATTTAGAGTCCTCATAAATTTCACATTGGGTATGCAATGTTAATCCGTATAGAGACCTCTTACATTGCTATATGCCATATTACACTATAGGATATTCGGGTCTCTTAAACTGTTTTGTAACTTCATTCCATTAAGAGTCCTCAGGTATTTTATGTTAGCTATGTAACATTATACCGTCGAGAATCCTCATGTACGTTGCACGAGATATTAACATCATAATGTATATAGTCTTCAAATGTATTAAGCATGTAATATCATACCGTATATGATCGTCAGGTAGCTTACAGACTCCTTGGGTATCTTATATCGGTTATATAACAGCATGCTAATTGAAGTCTGGGTGTCTTATATTGCTGCGTAACGTTTTACTATATCTTACAGTGTCCCGAGTGTCTTAGACTGCTTTGTAACATAATACCTACAGAGTCCTGGGTGTTTGAAACTGGTTTACTAGCATCATAACGAATAGAGTCTTCATTTACATTACTTTGTTGTGTTAAGCCTCACTGTATAAAGTCCTCAAGCGTATTACATTGCTATGTAACATCATTCCTTATAGAACCCTCAAGTATCTTACATTTGCTGTGTAACATTGTTCGTGGAGATCGTAGATGTCTTACATTGCCACGTAACATCATATCTCATAAAGTATTCAGGTATCTCACATTACTATGTAACACTATACCGTAGAGAGTGCTTGGTGTCTTACTCTTGCCTCGTAACACCATACCATATACAGTCCTCAGGTATTATGTATCACAGTTTCGTATACAGTCCTGTGTTTCATATCTTGACTATGTAGTTCAACGTCGTAATAGTGTAAACCTGTCACAATTTTCTCATTATTACTAAATAATGCAATATCATACAAACTACTGCTGTCTGGATTATTTACTTCAAGTAAGATATTTAATATATAAGAATACAATATGTCGTAATATTTTCTTCATTTGTCATCGTAATGTTAAATCAGTAACTTATTATTTTCATCCTCCCAAACCTGAAACTTTATTGTTTTCTTTCTTTTTAGATAAAAAAATCAGATATATAAATATATGTATTACTTATATGTTATGTTAAAATTGCTATCACAAAGTTGAGGAAGTTTCTGTGAGAAACATAACACTCTAAGGTCTAGTTTACTCGTATTATTTGTGTAATGAAGAACTTCTTGAACCAGAATCTTTCGAAAGAAATCTAAATGTAGCGAGCAGAGAACAAGTTGTTCACGTGTTTCTGGCACGAATCTTATATGGATTTCACGTGTTCGTGCTAATCAGTGATAATGATGACAAGCTATCAATCAAGAAGTGCGTATATCTTTGAACTGATATCTTTGGATCATCTTTTATTCACTAGTAAATAACATTTTTAGTCTTTGAGTTGTATAAAATTTCTCGTTTTTGAGGTCTTAAAGAGGGGTCACAAAACAAGGTTTAGCTTACGCTAATTCTCTTCAGTTATCAGCAAGTTGACCTTCTTATGAAGGAGATCATCGTAATCTCTGCCAGGGTTTCACTGAAATAGATTGATAAGTCCTTTTTACGAAAAATGAGATACGAATTTTGTTACAAATATATATATTTCTTAAATGAATTCGTAAGCCTAATAAGGTCCAAAGTGTTGACTACTGTATGCCATACTCCTTTCGTAAAATCCCGCAAGGTTTGTTCATTTCTAATCAGTATCTATATTTTTTTACAGTTGTCTTATTCCCCAAATAACGAATATTTTATTTTGCAGTTATTGGTTTTATTTAATGCATATTTATATATATTATAGTAAAAATAGCACGGTATGTAAGAGTTCCAGTTGCTGCACTAACAGTTGTTTTAAGTTGTTTAACGTAATCACAAAGTAATTGTTGTTTTAATATAAAATAATCTCTGCAACTTTTGTATATTCTAGATATATGTGAAACCTTAACTGCATTCTTCTTAACACTATTTGAAATAAAAAGCTGAACTGCTGTTAATGAACTTCACATGTTGAGCTAATCATAGTTCTTTAGAATGTGATGAACCTTTCTGGGGTATATCAATGAATAAGAACTTTTGGCACATAAGAAATATATATCTAATATTATGTTTGCTCTCTCATCAGTTATTTCTACAATTGGTGTTTTTCTTTGTTGAAATGTGAATCACGAATATTTGAAGGTGTTATAACTATTATATATTTCGAAGTATTGCAAATCCTGCTTTAATCAACAGGTCATTCATCCTTCTGAAACTTATTATTACGGCTTATTTTAACTAAACAATACAACTGTTTAGAAATCACTGAAAAAACAATATGTAATTAAAACAAACAAAGGCAAATAAATAAGTGAATAATGATTATAAAAAGTAACAAAATATTGCTATATAAGTTATGTCTAATGAGCTAAGACTGAGTTCTATACTTTACAAACATTCTTAAATTTAAAGATATAAATCCTAAAAGAAATAAAAACTGCACTGGATCGTCAGTTATGTACTTTTATTTTCAGTCGTGGAAGTTTCGACTCCTTAATTAAACTTAATGTCTCTCAAAATGGCAGACCCTTTCTGGTAAAAGCAAGAGTATCGATACAGAACGTATTTTAAAAAGAAAAAAATATTTAAATTTGCCAAATTTACGTTATTAATTCCAAGTATGAATTTCTTTGCTGAGGCCAACAAGCCTAATGAATGGAATGAAAGCTGGTTAAAGTTTGGAACTTAATGGGCATTTATAAACAACGTAACGCTCTTTCGGCTCTCTAGTGGGAAAGCGGCAAGTATACGGACTTACAACGCTAAAATCAGGGTTTCGATTCCCCTCGATCGACACAGCAGATAGCCCGATGTGGCCTTACTATAAGAACAAACATTTTTTTTTCAAAAAGTTCTAAAATATTATATAACAATGACATGAAAAAGAAAGCT